ATGTGAGCTATAAGCTTTCTTGTTGTGTAGTATTATCTTTTTTTTTTTATACGTAAAACATCATTCTTACCTCTTGTTTAGTTATTACAATACTAATAAATAAAAACGAAATTTTTCAACCTAGATATATCTTTTTTAAAAAAAAAGAAACACTAATTATCATAAGTTAAATCATAAATACATTGAATATGTTATATTTTGTATCACTGGCAATAATTTTCAAAATAGTTAACTGTACACAATATTATATATAGTGCAAAATTGTTTAATTTGATTCGGAGTCACTTTTACTATAAACAAATGATAAAATTCCAATGAAACATGTTACAGCGAAATTTTAATGATTTTTTTTTATAAGAAATTGCTTTGTGTGAATAATACAAATAAATAGATAGATGAGTAATGGTAATATAGCGAGATTGTTTATTGTTAAAATTTAATTTATTTTCAAAGTATATAGGCATATCATGATTATCCATATATTTTTAATTAATTTATAGATAATCATATGATCTAAATTAAATCATGTTGCTCAAGTGGTATCCCATTCGACATGAAAATAAATAGTATGGGTTTTAATTTTATACAAATTCATAAAATTGTTCTAATCTTATTTTAAGAAAGGAAATTTAGTATATTAGAAGTTTAGGCTGCAAAATAACAATTCAACCGTTCTCATACTACTACACAATTTATTCTTTTTTTATAGGTTATTTTGAAAAACAAAAAATATTTCTATACTTTATGGGCATTATGAGGAAAAATATTATCGATTTCAATTTTCTTACTTATATAAGTTATAGTTTGTCTTTTACATTTTTATGATCTATTCTAATTTTTTGAATAATTATTTTCAATTAATCAATCACAAGAAGTACATTACATAATGGACAATGTCAAATATATTGAAAGTTGAAAAAATAATATTTAAAGGTAATAGTGAAAAAGATTGCATGAAAATTTTGGTTGAGAAACCTTCATTATCTAAGTTAGTCTTGTTTATTCGAAATCTTTTTTGTTTGGGGAAGATTGACAAATATGAACAATAAAACTAAATTAAAATCTTTGACATGAATAATTGCATATGTTAGTTTACACTTTTGTCTTCTTATCTTGTTGAAAGAGACCATTCTTTGTCATTATTTTTATTGATAAAATATAGCAGTTATAAGTCAACTGCCATATGTTAGCAAAGTTTTTATATATTGTTCATATTATCTTCTCCTTTTCCAGTAAAATAGTTTTTGTATGCTTTTTTTTTCTTCATTGGATCTTGTTAATTATATATTTTCGTGAGTTATAAATATATATTAATATTCAAGTTTTGGTTGAATTTCAATTTTTTTTTTCATTCAAATACTATATATATTATATTTTTCATGAACCATTACACACATATGGTACACTATTTGATTTAGATTTCAATAGTCTGAAAAGATAATTTAAAAACATTAAAGCAATTATTTGGTAAATTGTATTGTTTTTTTTTTTTTTGCTTAAGAAATAAAATTGATTTAAATTAAACATTTATATTATGTATAATTAGCGATAGTTTTGGCCTCCATGTCACATTTAATACTAACATAATTGTTATTAATAAACTTACAAAATTAAATAAATATTGCTAAGAAATTTATCTTATATACTTACGGTTAAATAAACTCTTAAAATTATTGAGAAAATCATAAAAATATTTACAAATCTTAAAATAATGTCAATAAATAAAATATTTAATATACAAAAATTTGAATTATCATTGTTTATAGAGCGCTCATCTTGAAAATCAATTGCTCATGTGAAGCAATAATATTTTTTATTAGTTTTTTCCTTATCTATCATACTGAACGCGTTTTTTATTTATTTATTTATTTATTTATTTATTTTTTTTTATTTTTTTTGGTACAGAGATACATTGCTTGTCTAAATTTTAAAAAATGAGTATTTGATAAGGTAATGTCATAATTTTGTTTTTTCTGTACACTAACTTAACATTTTGATAATTTTTAAAAGTTTGTTCAAATTTTAATATCATTGAAAATCTTATTTAAATAAATCTAAAATTTAACATTTTGATAATTTTTAAAAGTTTATTCAGATTTTAATATCATTGAAAATCTTATTTAAATAAATGTAAAAGTTTCATACAAAAAGTGAAAATGGGGAGTGACAAGATATTCAAAATGGAGAAATTTTGATAAATAGGCATTGATAATTGGGCCAAACCAACATACATAAACCCCAAGATCTAGAATGGGTTTAATTAAAAGTATTAGTATAGAATGGGGGTATTAAATTACAAAATTGACATTATAAACATGACAAAGTAAGGTTAATTTAGGGATATCATATTTTTACAGATTCATTGGCTCTTTTATAATAGTATAGATTATTATTATAAAATGAAATCATCTATTAATACTAACTAAAATTTAATAAAAATTATTCAATTAAAAAGAGTTATATTTGAATTCATTACATATAGTTTTTTTTTTTAAAAAAAAATATTATAAATATATGACACTCATTTTGAAGTGTGATGGTTCCAAATGTGAAATAAAGAGATTTGACACACTACAAAAAAAAATGATGAAATTCTAACGGAAATATATTCATTTAATAGAATTCAAACGGAAATTTCAACGGTTATTTTTCAATGTTATTATTTCCGTTAGAATTTTCTAATGGATTCCGACAGAAATTCCAACAAAAATATTTCGTTGGAATGAGTTTTCTATTGGAACTTAATTCCGTTAGATTTTGATGATAAATTCCAACGCTAGATTTTCCATCAATGATTGAAAATAAAAATTTCAACGAAAATTCCTACAGTAAAAATTCGTTGGTAATATAGTTGTTGGAACCATTAAATTTCATTTAAAATTCCAGTAGAAAACACATTCCAACAAAATATTTCCATTGAAATTTCCGTTAATTAAGTTGTACCATTAGAATATCCATTAGAATTGTCGAATATATTATCAAGTTTTATGTAGTAATGGCATATATACTAGTAGGACTTTTCAATTGAGTACATTAATGAATTTCTTTGTTGATTGTGGAAAAAAAAAAAAAAAAAGAATATATACTAGTAGTAGTAGTTAGTGAAAAATGCTGACTAGAATTGAGTGTCATATATATATATGGGGGTGTCTATATGTACACCCCCTTGTGTGTAAAAAAGGGGTGTACATATAGCATTGCCCTTTGTGTAATTTATTAAAAAGGGGTGTACATATAGCATTGCCCATATATATATATTTTCGATATATGGTCAACAAAAATCAACTAGAGGTGTCAGCAATGGCAGGCAAGAGTCAAGGTGATGATTAATTAATTTAATTGGGTCAAACAAAATGAACTAGAAAAGTCAAGAGAAAGGAAATGTAAAGGAAACTAACAATTAGTTAACAGTGAGAGACCCATGCTAGCAAAGAGTACGTATATATATATATATAGACAGACTAGAATGAAGTGCTCGGATAAGCTAAACAGAAGAGTAATATTAACAACATATCGACTTCAACAACAAAACAATGGAGTCGAAAACAATGGAGTCGGGGAATTCGATATGTGTACTCCCTGCAGTCCCAGCTGATATTAATGAATCTGATGAGTTTCATAATATTATTATATCGATACCCCAGCATGAGCACCAGCAGCAGCAGCAGCAGCAGCCACTGCCGTTGGAGGACATTTCCCCGATAAACAGTTTTGGCAGCTTCTTTTCCGAGTTCAAGAATGAGTCGAGCAAGCTTTGGCGTCTCGCCGCCCCTGCGATCCTCACCACTGTTTTCCAGTACTCGCTCGGGGCCATCACTCAGACCTTTGCTGGCCACGTTGGACAACTTGACCTTGCTGCATTCTCCATTGAAAATTCTGTTATAGGTGGCTTAAGCTACGGCATCATGGTACGTACATTATATATATTTATAGAAAATGCTACAGTCCCGTTACAGAATGGTTCTGTCAGGGACCTTATTGTAACAGGATTGTATCACTCTCCTATATATTTATAATACCTATTGAACACGATCGCATATGTATAACTACTATATATCCACAAAACAGATGGGCATGGGGAGCGCTCTCGAGACCCTTTGCGGACAAGCTTACGGCGCCGGCAAAATCGGCATGCTGGGCGTTTACATGCAGCGCTCGTGGATCATTCTCCTCGCAACAAGTGTCCTCCTCACGTTCCTCTACGCATTCGCAGAGCCCGTGCTTCTCCTGCTGAGGCAGAAGGAAGACATATCCCGGGCAGCGGGGAGAATCGCCAGGTGGATGATCCCACAGTTGTACGCGTACGCCTTCAATTTCCCGATGGCAAAGTTTCTGCAGGCGCAGAGCAAGATTGTGGCCATGGCCTGGATATCATTC